AGGTGCTGTGCTGTCGAACGGCTGGAACCCTTTGGTGTGGGTTGGGCAGTAAGCAGCTCTAGGGAAACACAGGTAAAAGCAAGAGCTTTCAGAGGGATGGGGACAGCAGCTTAGGCCTTGTGCCAGAGGACTAAGCCTGCAGAGTCCCAGTGGAAGTGGCTAGAATTCCTTCCTAGTGACTTGTGTCTGGTTTTGGAAGGAGAAGCAGAGAAGGGGAAGTGTAAGTTTTGGACTTTGAGGCTTACCAGCAGGAATAGGCATTGACATCTAAGACACAGACGACAGTGCTGACAGAAGAGTTGTGTACACAGAAGTATTCAACTGTCACTTGCAGATTTTCAGAACCATTATTAGTAACTCTTTGGATTATATTTTTCACCTCAGTCTTAATTTCCTCCTGATTTGTTAGAACAGATAAAGAGACAGTCTTGCATCCATGAATATGTTAATTTAGGTACAATGCTTTATTGCTTATCTATTTTGACCCCTGGTTTCTACACAGTCCACAGCAGGAGCATCATTATTGGCTAATGCCTCACCTCTGACTCTCATGACATCACCTTTGTCTGTAACAAATCAAACTGTGACTCCTTTTGGGATGCTGGGTGGCCTTGTTCCAGTGACCATGCCCTTCCAGTTTCCCTTGGAGCTACTTGGCTTTGGAACGGACACAGCTGGAGTGACAACCACCTCGGGATCTACCTCAGCAGCTTTCCATCATAGCCTAACTCAGAGTAAGTGGGGCTCTGTTTTAAATGAGCAAATGAACCAGCTAACACCACATTGCTATTGCAATGCAATATGTAAGAGAAAGTCAAAGTTTGGGGGGGTTTCTTAGCATAATCATGACTGTATTTACATAAATCAACTTTTTGAATGTGTGTGCTGTAGTATTAGCTCTTGGAGCTTGGGCTTACACTGGTGTTAGAAAAGGCATTATTTCTAAGTTTGATCTAAGGGGCTCACATGTTAAGATCACTGACAAGTGTGTTTTTCTCTCAGATTTACTAAAGAGTTTACAGCCAGGAACTCAGCACGCAGCAACCCTTTCCCACTCACCTCTGCCTACACACTTACAGCAAGCGTTTAATGGTAAGCAAGCTGCTTGTTTCTATCATCTGTCAGTGTTTATAGGTGCTGATTAAGCTTTTTTCAAATGGTGGGAATGGGATGAGAAAACACCAGGAAATTTTTCATTTGCCTGTCTCCTCAGTGGCGACAAGCGCTTTTAAGAAAAAAGAAAAGGATAAATGAGATCTGTTAGACATGAGAAGACTTTAAAAAAAATAATAATTGGGTTTGTTTGGTTGGTTTTTATGTACATTTGATGTTTGGCCTACATGTATGTTAGATCCCCTGGAACTGGAGTTACAGACAGTTGTGAGCAGTCATGTGGGTGCTGGGACTTGAACCCAGGTGTTCTGTAAAAGCAGCCAGTGCTCTTAACTGCTGAGTCATCTCTCAAGCCCGAGAAGACCTATTTGAAGGGTTTTATTATATAGATGTGTTGCCTAAGTATGAATTTATAAAATAATTAACCAAAGTCATTGATGCTAACAAGATGGCTCTGCAAGCAGGTAAAGGCACTTGAGTTCAGTCCCCAGAACCCACAAAAAGAGGTAAATGAGACCAGCTCCACAGAAGTGTCATCTCACTTCCACACAAGCAAGCACTGTGCTGTGCACATTGTCGCACACACAGAGGTTTCCTTTGAAGGCATAGTCAGGAGCTCAGTTCAAGTCACTTACTGCTCTTACAGGGACCCAAGTTCACTTCATGGCACCTCGTACCTGTCTTGTAAGGTTAGGAGAGATGATGCCCTCTTCTGGCTTCCAGGCACACACATGGTGCACATACATACATGGAGGCAAAACACTCATACACATAAAATAAACTGTCTTTAAACTGGCTTACTCTTGAGCACAGGGCAGAAATTAGAGCTATGCAGCAGTCTTGAGGCAGTAGGCTCTCATTAACCCTGTGGTAATTCCTGTGGCCACCTGCTCAAGGCTCATCCCTGAGAGAAGGAACATAAGCCCCATCTTTTTCTGCACTTGATTTGTTTTAAATCTATTCCTGTTGTGTGGCTCAGCTGAAGATAGGTGCTCTGCTGATTGGTGTGAGTGTGACCACCAACAAGGAAGTAGACAAACAGGATTCTTGTTGTTCAGAAGACTTGAGCTCTATGGAAACTACCTTCCTATCTGGTTAGCACCACTCTCCCAGGACAAGAAAAGGGACACTAAGCATTTTCCAAATAACTAAAATTTAAGTTTAAAACTGTTCGCTCAACAAGTACAATATATGGCATTAAACGTATTAAACTTAACGTTTGGATTCAGTTTGAAAAGCTTCAGCATCACTTCTATGACTCCACTTTAGACATCCTATGGGGGTCTGATAAACATAACTGGTTAAAAGAGTCCTGTCTGCTCAGTGGTTGATAGTTAAGAGCCCATTAGTGTTTGTTATCTTAATCTTATCTAAAACAGAGGCCAAAGGAGGATTTTTGTTGTTGTTGTTGTTGTTGTTTTGGGTGGTTGGTTGGTTGGTTTGGTTTGTGTTTTGAAACAGGGTCTTACTGTGTAGACCTGGCTGGCATGGCATGTGTGCTCTGTAGATCGTAGCAGCCTTGAACTCATTGCATGCAGTGTGCCACCATACTCGGGTGGCATAAATAATAATAAACATTTTGAACTTGCAGTCTCTACAATCTTTTTTTTTATAAGTACCCAACTTTATTGTTATAAATTAGCCACAAATGACTTATAAACAAGTAAAGTTGACTTCCAGTATAAAATTATATTAACAAAAACAGATGTGGCCAGACTTGGCCATGGGCCATACTGCACCAAACTGCTATAAAGAATTTCACAGTCCAGTTAATGGGATTGCTTTATTTTGATAGTTAAATTATTTTTGATAATTAAAACAACATTACTTTGACAAAACCCTATTTTAATAGTATCTTACCATTTCAATAATTTGGTTACACCATAGATCAAACCATTTCTCTCTGTAAACATATATTGTGAATGAAAAAGCCCTGACTATTTAGTAGAACTGTTAATACAGCTTTGAAATAACCATTAATATTGACACAGCTTTTAATGTGTTTTAAGATACTTAGATATGACATGAGTAGCTATGACCATGTGACTTGGGATTCCTCTTTCTTCTTGAGAAGTTTCCTTTCTTTGTCATTTTCTCTCAGGTCTGGCTTCTCTTGGGTCTTTGTTTTTCTTACTAGGGCTTTGAAAACTAACCGAGACTATCTGGTGCTCTGGGTTGTTGGATACCACTCTTGCCTGGGGAACCCCATCTTCTCTTCCTCCAATGTTTTTAGAAGTGTTTGGCTGAGAGTTAGATAGAACAGTTAGATATCTTCTGCCAGCAGTGCCAGCAGCAGCATAGGTGGGTGTCGAGACCAAGCTGCCCAGCAACAGACCTGCATCTGGTACCACAAGGCTAGGACCTAAACAAACACACAGCTGCATTTTCTTTACCACCAGTGTGCTGTGTTCACAATACGTGGGAATTATCACATGTCATATTATGCCAGAATACTTAATTCTACTTACAAGAAAGTAAAAATGGCCTAGTCTTCCAAAGAAATCAAAAGGTGGAGTAGGTCCCTTGAAGGTGGGCATTGTGTGATCTGATTCCTTTAGAACCCAGCATTGAACATGGTTATGAGGTAAATAAATGTTACATGCCTGCCAGGGTAGTTTTCATAGAGTTTTTTAGTCACTGCCTTTCTACCTGTTTATGTTTAATCAACTTCTGTAATACCATCACCATGTGAGGTAAATAAAGGTTATCTTTTTAGAAATGTAATTCACAATAAACTGATTCTTCTTGCTTTTGCTTTTTTGCTTTTTTACAATATGCAAAAGATATCAAGTTAATGTTTCTTTTCTCAGATGGAGGCCAAAGTAAAGGGGACACTAAGTTACCACGGAAACCTCAGTGACTTTCCAGCAAGCGAGAGAGGAACCACTTGGCTG